TTCAACTTCATATCTATTAGTAACTTGAATCACAGAAACATAAATGAGATATCTTTGCACAACAGAGTAATATTAGGAACAACACACTAGTGATTGCCAAAATCTTTAGCCAATGTTAATAAAATAAGATTAAAGCTGAAGCCTCTGGGGAAATCTCCAAAGCGCTATACGACAACAACAGCCCGTACAGTAGAGTTTTAATTAGGCTCTGCAGGCTTTCAGTTGCGGCGCTTGACTCGCTCTGACATTTCCCACTGTGGCTGCGACCCCAAACTGGCCGCCGCCACGTCCTTTTTCTGGTCGGAGGGGTGGGCACGGAGGCAGCTTAATGAGACCAAGAATAATGACAAACCTTTACAGGCGGATAGTTCATCGTACAGTGGAGCACATATCTGAGCGGTGGGGTTTTAATTATTGTGTTATCATTGGTGGTGGTCGCGTGCTCGGATTGAATTATGAGGGCAGGGGGTCTCCAATTACAAGCTACTATGGGTAACTGTTTTATTCAATGTTAGGGATTGGCCATGCTAATTGCTGAGCATTCCAAACTATAAATGGGAAAGGCCACAATTTCTATGCCATAAATTCTAAACATAGAATTCACAGTTAATTTTGTTTTGACCAATCTTATTGGTAGTTTTGTGTCCGACCGATATTTTGGTAAATCTAAACAGCCTCTATAATGATCATAGTTTCAAATTATTCTGACCAAAATATTGTGGTAATAATGACAACTCTCGTAGGCTATCCACAACCAAACAAGTGTACACACACAAGACTCAAAGTAAATGGTTTGGGGACTGGTGTTCGGGTTGCCTAGACCCCAGGGCTCCCATTTTCTTCTGTGTGTGCTTTATATTTTTCATGTGTTTTAACTGTTGATTCTCTGATCTGTGTTGGTGATTTCAATGGTTTTGTTAAGTCCGCTGGGATGACTTCTGTTGTGACTTAGGGCTATACAAGAATAAATTGTATTGTATTTTATTGTATTGTATTTTGTAGCTCCGCCCCTACTGTCTCAAAGTTCCTGTCTCAGTCCAGTAACAGTATGGTGTCACCGCCCCATTTTGACATCACTCTCAGAGCTCTCTCAATTTTTTTCCCTGCAAAGTATTTTTGGCAGTTTCTCAAGGGGAACTGGCTTTCATTACAATTGCATGGTTGTGTTTGCAGACAGTAACTTTAACATAAGGAAAAAAACTAAACAAATTTAACTCTGGTGGTAGCATAGGGTCGAAAGCATGTTTAACCCTTAGTTCTTGTTTCATTTTGGCCAGGAAAGTCCAACTGAGATTTCAAATTATTTTATTCAAGGGAGACCTAGACTCGGAGAGAGGGAAGCTTTGTATAATTTTTAATAGGGGAAACCAGAGCACCCAGAGTACGTCTCCGCAGACATAGGGACATTGAAAACTATGAAAACATAGGGACATTGAAAGGGTTAGGGTTAGGGTTAACCCTAACCCACTTAAGAAAGGTGGAATCAATGTCAAGACTTTCTTGCTAAGAGGCAAGCATGCTAACCATTCAACCACCAAGATTTGAATTCAAATTACAAAACATGAAATGACAAGTGCATACTCTTATTGTTCAAAATAATGAACAACATATGTTTGTTTATTACATGACTACAAGTATTTGTTTAGTATTTGCAAAACACATCTACACATCTTAGTTTTTTCATATTTATAACACCATAAAGTAGATCAAACTCCAACAGATTTGGTATTTGTAATAGATTTGCCACTGCCCCAACAGCAGCAGCTCCGACTGTAAATGGCGATGATTGCGGCCGATCGATCCTAAAGAGGTTTCCCTTCCTCAGATGCCCCGCTGCTGTGGCACACGTGAGCGCACACACATCGATCCTCTCCGCTGCTGGAACCTATTCAAATGCGCTATTATTATGTTATTATTGGGGACAACAGGTGGGGAGCGAGGAGTGTAAGGAGAGCAAGGTGCCACCGCAATCATGCAATCAGTCCATCCACAGTCCCATTATTATTTCATGGCCACTGCGGCGCAGATTACAGATGCAGCGGATGCGAGGGAGGGGAGGTGCGCAGAGCTGTCTTGGGGAATTTGTGGTGTTATGACAAGTTTTATATCAGGGAATCAGTGAATATTTACACAAACTTTCCAATGATGCAAACGTTGCTGCGTTTCTCTGCAGAGGAATCCAATGAAAGTTGAGAGGAAGTTTGAAGTCTGTGCAAGAGCTAAGGAGGAAAATAGTAAACATTTCCTAAAGACGTGAAACTGTTTTTGTGGGAAATAATTATGTGGACCCTCAAATTGTATTTTCTGATAATGTTGGGCAAAGTAACTTGTGGACAACATATGCTGTACTAAGAAGTACTCTATTGAACTCAATGTGTGGTTTTTTATTTTTGTTTTTCATTGATACAAATCTACATTGGTTTCTCTTTTCTTTCTTGCTTATATTATATTTTAGTGTATGGTGCACTTTTGGTTGTACTTGTTATTACTACACACAGTTGTAAAAATAAAATTCCAATTGTTTAGATAGATCATGGTCAAAAATACATTGACAGTTATGTTTGGCCATACAGGTCAACTTTGAGCAGTGACAAAAACATTACACATACATACAAAGACTTTTCATGCTTCCAACTGGGGCACATACGTTTGTTCAACTGAAATGAAAGTAAAATGTTGTTAGCAAATCAGACAATGACATGCCATCTTTGTCTGTTACTATTTGACGCCTTGGGCTAAAAGCTGTTGGGCTTTTTCAGTGATCTAAGGATGTGACAGAGGCAAAAGTACATGCATAAGAAACCTAGTGGTAGAAACTGTTTCAGAGGAAGGAAAAATAGTGAAATGGATTTTATTAGTTTCATTGTTGTGGATTTCAAAGTGACATCTCCAGCTTCATACTACAGACAACGCTGAGGAAAATACTTGTTTACCCTTTTAAATCACATGTCAGCGTCTTGATCTAGCCTTCACCTCTACTCTACTACTCTGTAATGGCCGTAAGATCCAAACACAGAGCTGATCCAAGCATTCAGGCATTTTTCCAGTTCTCATGAATATTGCGTCCAGCAGGCATTACCAAGGACACACTATAAACATTTGTGGTTCAATTACTTTTGTCGGGGGCTTTAACGAACAAGGCAATTGTTTGCTTTGCCCCAGTCAACTCCTCTATTATCAGGTTCATAGAATTCAGCCTACACTCAACAAACACAAGCAAAGGTTTGGAACTTTGACAAGAGACCATTCTGCAGAGGTTGTATAAGTAAGGACTAAACAACAAGGAGCGGTGCTTGTGCATGGTTTAAACCAGGGTTTTTCAACCAGTGGGCCGTGGTACGTTATTGTGCCTTAAGAGGGTGTTTGGTGTACCTTTGGAAATTATTCAATATCACCTACGAGATTGTTCAAGGTGTAAAATCTGCTAATACCATGGTCAAAACACTCACACACTCTTAACTTAAAAAAACATCTATATTTTGTCCTCTACATTCACAAAATATGGGTGGACCACTTTTAAAACCAAGAACCAGCAGAATCTCCTTAGCAACTGTTTTTTCCACATTCAATTTGTAAATTCACGAAACATTAATATTTAGAATGTTAATTAAGTTTAGGTTGATGAAAAAAACATTTTTCTGGTATGTTGTTGGTTGTTGTTGTCGTTGTAGTTTATAATAGTATTAAACAAGATTAAAAATACATATATAAAGTATAATCCTACACACTCTAGTGAAACCAAATATATAATTATAAGTTTAAGTGAGTAATACACAGATATTAGTAGTCTTGTTAACTCTGAATATTCGATTTACATTTGAATCCTCACTGACCTCACTGTAGCTAAACAGTTGTCAAATGTGCATGATGTAACTTATAATTTTATGAAACTTATTTTGGATGAAGAAGAAAGAAAAACAGACTAGGGAAGAGCGACATCTGTGTAAAGGCAAGTTAAGGCAAGTTAAATAGCACACTCTTTTCTCTTCTGATCAGAGCTGTCCATGGTGCTGAATGGACTACAGCAGCAAGTCCCTTCTTTAAAACAGTTGGAAATGTTAGTGCTTTGGCTAGAAGACCCATTATGGCATTGAATTAAAATGTTTTGGAAAGTAACGGTAGAGTAAATTACTAGTGGGTTCATTGCTTATAAAGAAGAACATTTCAGGTTTAATGTTTTAGTGAAATGTCGTTTGGTGTTGTCCAACCATGGTACATTGTAACTATTACTTCTTCTTTGCGTATGCAGTCCTTACAGCCCTTGACAGATTGCAGGCAAACTATACAAAGAGCTGGTAACTTCATACACAGAGATGCACTCCCTTAATTGCTCACATTTTGCTCTAATTGGATTTATACATTGAAAAGATAATTATATTACACATCCGACATTTACATCTTGTGTCTGGTCTGTGAAAAACTACTTCAATGAACTTGACTTGCTTAGAATGTAGATTTTTGTAGATTATGGTTCGAAAGCCCATTCCTTCTAATTTAACTTACATGACAGACTTGTTAAATGCAAAGTGAGCTATATCAAGCCTTTTTGTTGTTGTAATGTTGATAGTTGATTCACAGCTCGTAAAACCTCCAATTAAATGTAATATCTTAAAGGAAGACTGTAACAAACAAACCACCTTCAATAAAACACATTGCTGTCTAAAAACATCAGTGATTGAGTGACTGACTTCCGAGAGTAATTCCAAACAAAAGCAAACATCTCCATAATGACTAGAATTAGAAAAGTCTCATTGTGTTCTTTTATGGGTGACATGAGTGAAGCTACATAGAGTACATACAATGAGTCAATGCGTGTGGGCATCCAAACGCAGCTCCGAGTCTGCAGATGTAACCACTACTCCCTCTCTCGCTTTCTCTCTCCCGCCCCGTGCGCGCCTCTTGCGGCCGTATAAAAGCACGCACAGTCCACGCCATCGGCACACGGAGCGAGACATCCGGAGAGTCATTTACACACGGAAAACCAGAACACAAACAAAAACATGTCCAGCTTTACGCGAGGGATTTACTGGCGACTGTTCCTCTCCGTATGCCTCTTCTTGGAAACTTGGTCACAGAACTTGGGCCAGACGCAGTTCATTTGTACGTCCGTTCCCAAAGACGCGGACGTCTGCTCGGGCACCCTCCAGAACTCAGTCCCGGGGGCCACGGGGGACAACCTGAGGAGCAGCGTCATGCACTTACGCGAGACCGTGCTGCAGCAGAAGGAGACCATCATGAATCAGAAGGACACGATCCGGGAGCTCACGTCCAAGTTAGCGCGCTGCGAGAGTCAGAGTGGCGAGCCGGGGAGCGCACGGAGGAAGGGCTCAAAGGACACCATGGGGGACGTGTCCAGGGGCCCCGCGGACACGCTGGCGCAGCTGTCCCAGACCCTGCAGGCGCTCAAGCAGCGACTGGAGAACCTGGAGGTGCGTGTATTACTGGCGCGCGAGGCTGGGTTTCGTGTGGGATTTGATTCATGCACTTTTAAATCAGACAAAGTTAAACGCGTTCGAATGAAGTCGAATAAATATATATTGTTTTTGGTACATTCTGAATGTTTTAAATGGAGGTTTTACGATAGATAGATAGATAGATAGATTTTTTTCTCTAAATTTCAAACGGGAAATAGCTTGTGTTTTTCCTTTTAACAAATTATTCAAATCAGGTTTTTGAGATGAGATGCAAGCTCGCTCACATGTTGGCTGTTTTCCAAGTGCTTTTACTTCGTAAAGTCCAAGTTAATATACACATTGTGGTATATTTTAATCAAGAACTTCCTGCTACTTTTGCATATATCCTGTAATACCTGGTAGAACATACTGGAGATGTGTAATGCAACTGCCTAAACATGTGAGAGAGCTGGTCATAAATTTAAAAGCAGGTGGAAAAATGCCTTCATAGTTATGCAGCTTACACAGGCCGCATATACCTAAGACATTATGAAGGTTTGACAGAAGAACTTGTAATTTACTGTAGTTTAGTTATAAAACAACTACTTATATGAATAGCTATGTATTAAATTACCAAAGTGAAAATGCGTATTGCAAGCTTCTTATTATACCAAGCAGTGTAAAGGACAGATCTTTTGCAACGCTTGTAACAAATACTGCTCGATTGGAATAGAATAGAGCAAACAAGCCTGATATAGTGATAAAATAACTCAAATAATGCTTTTTGAAGTAGGAAACATATTGACAGTTCTAACCAGTGTGGAGCTGTGATGCTATAATGACAGGTTGGAGATGTGGCCACACTCCTTGGTCGTGAGGTTGATAGTTGGTGCGTTCACACAAAAATATTTAGCTTCATAGCAGAGAGCTCTGCTCATAGAACCAGCAACTAACAACGAGTAAATGGGGCTTGGGGCTTGCAAGTTTTGTTGTCCAGTTTAGAATGTTTGAGGAGTAATACAGTATTTAGAAGTGCCAACACAGAGACACAGTGCTGCTCTGGGACCAAAGTACATGTGGTAATGTGGGTCACTGCTCAGGCTGTACTGGGAAATACTGTTTTGGATTCAAACATGATATGAAAATTACTTTTGGAGCATTTAGCCAGGCTATGTCATGTTCTCATGTTCATTTTATTGAGCTATGTTTGTGCACAATCCACCCTAATATCATATTTTTCTTCCCCTCTCTTTGCTCTGGGTAAATCTCCCATAAATAAGGCTCAGCAAATGTGTTTAGTACAGTGCATACACAAGGCAACTCATCGTTCCCAATAATAAGACATAAACACTCATTTGATACAATTACAATCCTTGTTGTTTCCACAGCTAAACAGAACTGTTTTAAGGTTAGGATTACGGTTAAGAGATCGTTTATTCTTCCCACAGTGGGGAAATTTCAGTGTTGCATCCCAAGTTACAGAACAGTAGGAATGAGGAGCACACAGCACAAGACAGATGAGTACTAACTCTATACTAAAATAAAATGAAATTTCGAACACTAAGACTTTAATTAAAGCTGAGGTAACACACTTTCCCCCATCATTAATGTTGTTTGTCCCAACAGAAAGAGTCTTGTCTTGTAAAAGAAAAATGTTTTCTTTTACTTTTAAGAAAGAGCTCTGTGAGTCACTAGTTGACACTTTGGGCCGAGAGTTGATTGGATGAGTGAGGGTGGTCCTCTCTTTTTCACAACTAAATATATTCAAAATTATATTTGGGATCAGAATTCTCATTAGTTCTCTAAAGCAGGGACACCTAACTGTTTTTATTTCAAATGTATCTTCTAGAAAGTATTTAGAAAATAATTTGTCATGGATTTTGACTGAATTTGAACTTTTTAATTCTTTGTGAGGAAGAACCATGTGAGTCGCTTTAAGAGGCTCTGGGCAGAGAGTGATTGGCTGCTGAAGGGGTAATCCACACAGATGTGTGTGAGAATAACACCATGCTCATTCTTGCATTCGTGCAATATGACAGATTGGAGTGAGACAAACTCAGTCAGGTATGCCCCAGTTTCAAGTGTACCCTCAAATATAGTGTCACCACAGCAGACTGTAACAAGATGAAGAATACTTCCATGCTAGCCCGTTCAATCCACTCCTGATGCACGCTCTATGGTCTAGTGGCAAGAAGCTGGTTTGGTTTTGTTTCAGGGTAACTTCAGGTTTACTTGGAGTCAATTTTCAGTCCCTGAAAAGATTTTGGAAGCAGTTCTGTATAAGTCGCCAGGGTAAAAGACACTGCACCTCTGCTCAGGACCAAGGTTCCATCTGGTTTAGAGGTATAAACACCGACATGGACCAATCAGCTAAGAGCTCACTGAGATGTGGCAACCTTTGGGTCAGCACTGCACTGATGCAAACTAATGTAATGACTGACAAAGACATGGAATATGAATTATACATAAATTAACTAAAATGCTTTTTTTCTAATCTTTGCTGTGGCAGCTGCTTTATCGGGTTCACTCAGAGTCGACAGAAATCGTTGACAGACATATTATGCAGAATCGAGTTTTGAGCTTTTAACCATGTTACAACATTGTTCCAAATAAAATAAAACACAATCTAGAGTTGATTTTAGATCTACCCACTTAAACATCAGGAACGTCTGGCAAAAACATGTCCTTTCAGTCTAAAAGCTCCTGTCTCAGTCCTCTAATAGTATGATGTCATGGTATCACACTCAAACAAAAGTTTTGCTCATAAATTAGTTTTGGTTATTTCTAGAGTGAGTCTACAAAAGTCGTTTTTGGAAGTTCCCATATATTGATAGATATTATTTTACTTTCTTAAAACATAACTAGTCTCATTATATGCAATGGCCAAAAATAATGTATATTTTTCTCCTTTATAGTGAGACTCAGTTACTTTTTTTAATTATGAGAATGGAGAGGTGTGTTTTGAATGCCAGTGCTAGACAGCTGAGGTCCCTCTCCACTGTACCCCATCCAGCCAATATTAGTGGTGATGCTAATTCCAAGGGGAGTGACTGTTTTAAAGTATTATGAAACACGTTTACTTTAGTTGATGCTACAGGGCCATGTTGAAAAATATGTATTCTTTATTACCTACAATTGATGATGCAAACATCATCTTTAAACAACACACACACACACACACACACACAGTACTGGAAATTCTAATGCTTCAAATGAATAAATCCGAGAGGAAACAGGACTTGTCTTTGTGCAGTTTATTTACAGAGGTGATGAATACAATCAAATAACATCTCTGCAGAGAGAGAGACCGAACCTGTGCACACACACACACACACACACACACACACACACACCCATACCCACACACACACACACACTCACTCAAAATGTCATTGGATGGAGCAACTCAGAAGTTACTCCACAACCAGATTTGAGCAACAGGGCTCTGATCTGTCTGACAAACCAACATCTCTGAGACACCTCTTCTGTCTCCTCTCTATCCTCCCTGTAGCAGTACAGCCGAAGTAACAGCTCGGTCCAGGCCAACAGCCTCAAAGACCTGCTCCAGAGCCGCATCGACGAACTGGAGAAACAGGTGCTGTCCCGGGTCAACAGCATGGAGGAGACCCGCCACGGCCTGCGGAACGAGACGGAGCAGCGCGGCCGCGTAGAGTCCACCCTCACCTCGCTGCACCAGCGCATCTCAGACCTGGAGAAAGGTACGGGTCCCTTCTTGATGTTGCGTTCTAAACAATTGCAAAGTTGCTATGATATGTGTTAAGGATGTAAAATCCTCAAGGTTACAGGATACCCCTACAGGATTAACTTCAAAATATTGGTTCTGACATTTAGAGCTTTGCATGGGCAGGCTCCTCCTTATGTCAGCAATCTGATACAGCCTGTTGGCCCCTCTCGGGCTCTGAGGTCTGCGGATCAGAATCAGGTGCAACGATCGTCCATTTTCTCTGCAGTTGATCGAGTCGTTTACCTCCTTCCAAAGTCTAGGATCTGAAAACCCATTTATTTGTAAAATACTTTGCTTGATTTTTCCTGTGCCTGTCACCAGTTTGTCTTGGCCATTTCCTTTTGTACACACATTTTAACTGGGCGCTGTATAAATAAGCTTACTCACTTCACTACTTACCAAAACATCACTTACTAAAGTAAACATTTACCTAAAGTGAACCAGGCAGTGCTCAAGAGAAGTGTGAGATCTAATGCTAATAGTGAGGCTTTTAGTATATGGTGGTAGCTTTTGTGAAGAACTTTCAGTTGCCCTGTGTTTGAATTGTGCTTTATTTAAACTTGAGGTGCCATTGTGGAAAACCAGTGGGTGTAGCAGCGGTGAAATATATCAAAATACAAAGGTAAAAGTTCTGTCACTGTTCTTTAGAACAATTTGAGGTATCTACTTCAAAACATGTTGGATATTTCACAGACATAATTGTGTCACTGGTTTGAATACATTTATGACGAGTTACTTTGCCTTTGATTAACTTTGCTATTGAGTCACTACAGCCTGTAAGCTGCAACTTTTTTCTGTGACCCAGTATGTTTTTATGCCTGTATAGCAATGCCACCAATTTTAATTTTGTAAGAGCATCTCCTGGGTTTATCATTTTCACTTCATCAACAACTAGTTGAGATGGGAACCACAGGTATTGTCGAAATAGACTGGATTCACCTGAGTGCTTTGATCATCCCGAATTAAAGTGCATTAAAATACCTCAACATTAAATCCTGTTGTTTCCAGTTAAAACAATTGACTATTAGTTTTATTTTGTATGAAAACCTGCAGTTCTTGTTCAGGAGCCACTCTAGGCTGCTTGAAATTGCTTAAAGTCATTTCCTGAAAAATGTTTCACAAAAACAAAACAAGAAAAAAATCTTTTGAAACTGGACATACATGTTTTTGCACTCTATCTGCAAACCATAACACCAAAGCAGAGGCAGGAAACAGTAGAAGTTAAGTACTTTTACACCACTAGCACTAGTTGAGCTGGCAGTGGAAGCAGCTGACTTAGCTGGAGCGTATACAGATCAACCGCTGCCCAGAGATGCAGGAATTAGACACAACCCGAATCTGAAGAGATGAGGAACAGCAGGTAAGTATAAAGAAACCCACAAAAAACAGGTAACATAAAAGCTGGAGGCACTACTGACTGAGACATAATTATCTTGCAGAGAAGTGGTGAACAGAGCAGTCTTGATATACAGAGGCAGAGTGAGGGATGCAGTGTGTGTCGTCTGCAGCACAGGTGAAGCTGACTATGCCCCGTGCCACATACATGACCTGCAGAACTCCCCATGGTTAACCTGCTGTTGTAGTCAACCTTAAGGAGCTGGTATGAGATGAGAACGGCAAGGAGAGCATTTCCTTAATGCTACTAACTTCGGACTTTCCTAATCAAGCGGAACTAGCATTGCTGTTGATCACTATATGAGTGCACAGCCCCTTTCTCTGGCTGAATTGTGCCACGACACAAAAATATTAACCATAATATTCCAGACGTTTTTAATCACAACTGAAACTCACAATACCACAAGGAAAATGTTGCAGATGAATCACAAGCTGAACTAAGGTGTTTAAAAAAGCAATAATTATTAATGTAGAACTTTTACTCTGAGATGCCAGCTGCATGCTAGGATCTCCAACCTGCTCTGTTAAAGGAAGGTCCTCAGGTTCTTATGCTTAGGGCTAGTGAAGGATCGTCCCCAGATTCCTATGCTAGAGAACTAATAATGGAAGCCTGGTGGTCCCATCTGTTTCTTGACGTTATTACCCAATTCGGAACCTCCTTGTCATGGCAGCCGGCATCAATAAGGTCATCCGGGTCATCAATACGGAAACTTGACACATTTTTTTGGTATTTGGATCAAGGGTGGATAGATCCTTACAATTGGTTTATAGTGGGCCCAATGAAGACCTATTTATCCTATCTGTAGTGCTAAATAGATGTTGTGCTTTTACAATCATTATCTTTAAACATGCATTAGTCTTACACATATTACACTTGATTTATATCTGGTTTCCATGTCAAAGCAGTGGCTTACATCTGTAATCCTGTCCAGTGGTTCAGTAATGCTTCATATGTGGCTGAGTCCTGTTTACTTGTTTAATTCCCTTGACCTGGCACCATGAGACACATGTCCAAGCTCAGTGTGGTCACTTGTATATACTGCTGGTAAATAGTGTGACACAAAATACTTGGCATCATTATGCAGTGATTATTTTTAGTTCTTTGGATTCAGTTCATACTTATCAAATGATTCTAAAATTTCTGGTTCTGTCTTGTTTGTAGGCCAACCCCTACAGACTTTATTGTCATTGGATGCTGATTGTACACAAGCATGTTACACAAACTTATTTCATGATAGTGTATTCTTTTACCCTCTCATCTACATGATTTAAGTGGTTATAAATAGTTCCAGAATGTGGAGCAATGGCTCCACATTGGCTTGCAGGGGCGGCACGGTGGCTGAGTGGATAGCACTCTCGCCTCTCAGCAAGAAGATCCTGGGTTCGAATCCCGGTCGGACCAGGGCCTTTCTGAGTGGAGTTTGCATGTTCTCCCCGTGTCTGCGTAGGTTTCCTCCGGGTACTCCGGTTTCCCCTACCACTAAAAATATGTCCAATAGTTCTGGCATGCGCTTCCTGTACTGGCCCCGCTCCCATCTCTGTGTGGAGTGAGAGACAAATGCCCAAAATTAACAATTGTAAACCGCTTTGAGACTCAGATCTGCAGTGAAAAGGCGGTATATAAATAAAAACTACTCCTACTACTACTTACTTACTTACTCTAAAATCTGGCTTGAAAAAAAAAAAGAGTAAATCATTACAAATAATAACTGAAGCTGTCCTTGGTGCTGAAATCACATCAAGTACAAGGACAACTTTGTGCATAAAGTGCACATTTACATTTTAACATCTAAAAATTAAACAATTTGGCATATTTTGTGATTTATTAATCATTGTAGCTATTAGGAATATTGAATGTAGTTCTAATTGATAATAATGTTGATGTTTAAAGTGTAAGGGTAGTTCAAGTGACCCTCCTTTGAATGATTGCATAGGTGAACAGCTCATAAAGGTTTGATCCTAGTTTGACAATTTTTCACACCCATCAAGTTATACAGTCATTAAACAGGTCTATAGTTGGGGTCGTCTTGTCTAGTCATTTTTAAATATATTAGGATTTTAAATGGGACATTTAACAGTTACAAGATACATTCAGAGACAATATAAAAAAAAACCTTCTGCTATATGGTGTAGCTAGATACATATAATTGCTTTTGACTTTTTAAAAGATTATAGCCACCATCACGGTCACATACTGAAGTCACAGTTGATTACTGGTGAGTGACTGGTCAAAAACGCTTTAAATAATAAGCGTAAGTCACAAGCGGACCACATGCTGCTGCTCTGGGCCTCATGAGATTAGTGCAAATCCCGGCCACAGCAGCCGATCTGTTATGTAATGTCATTCATGTAGAAATCCTGTCAGTTTCTGCACATGGAAAATTGTGCTTTACAGAATGGCACTATGGCACAGGGTGAAATCATGTGAGCTTTGATGAGGACTGGAAGGTTAATAGGTTTTTTATTGAACTGATATGATTCATGCATTTTCAGATATTGAAACACTACACCGTATGTTTGTGAATTTGTAAATCTATCATTTTTACCTTAAATCATTGTATTGTTTAATTGGTTGAATCTAATGGATTAAATACATTTTGTAGCCAGATCCTGTCAGACCTCTGAAGATAAGATAAGAAGAGGGGAGACCTCTGGGAACATCGAATGTCACAGTGGAATGGCTGTGGCTGTAAAGTGCCAAACTGTTGTTGTGTTTTGAGGAAAGACACTTCATCCACATTTCCTAGAATGAGTCTGGTGTATGTGCATGAATGGTTGGTGGTGGTCGGAGGGGCCAATGGCATATACTGGGTGTCAGTGTGCCTCAGCAGTTACATTATTCTAATTTCACGAGTTTCAGCTGTATGTATCCAAGCTTACACTCTCTTCTCTGTCTTCCAGGTCAGAGGGAGAACAGGCCGCTGGACAAGTTTCAGCTGACGTTCCCACTGCGCACCAACTACATGTACGCCAAGGTGAAGCGCAGCCTGCCAGAGATGTACGCACTCACAGTGTGCATGTGGCTGAAGTCCAACGCTTCTCCCGGAGTGGGCACTCCACTGTCCTACGCTGTGCCAGGACAGGCCAACGAGCTGGTCCTGATCGAATGGGGGAACAACCCGATGGAGCTGCTGGTCAACGACAAGGTAGGGGAAAGTCCTAAGCTGTTTGTTCAAATCCTCTCTGGACATATTGGTGTATGCTACTGTGTGTCCTTGGGCAAGATGCTTAACCTGCCTGGACCCTAGTATCTGCATACACTGGCATATGGATGTTTGTCATACAACATGAAATTGTATCTAAGTTCTATATAAGTAGAACATACATGCTGAAACTGAAAGTATGAAGGATGATAGCTGTTTTCTGGCTGTAATTCCTGAATTTATGCTGCCAACAATGGGACGAGGTGCATTTGTTATGTTTTGGCTGTAACCACAGTCATTTGATTCTAAAGCACATGCGTCAAAGTCAAGGCCCGTGATTGAATGATGCCTGCCACTGACGCATTAATACGTCAATTGCGTTTTATGCTATTTTCATGTTCCCTGATGTCTATTATATCTAATATGTACGGGGATTAGCTTGAGAGCATATTTTATCGAGCCAGCAGGTGGCACCACCGCTCTCTGGATGTTTGAAAACAGCTAGAAGCACTTGTTGTGCCTCTTTTTTCTCAGCTTTTTGGTGATTTCAGTAAAACCTACCTCTACTCGACTAGGGATTACAGGGGAAGGAAACAAGCTAGAAACAAAATTATTTTTGTTGATGAAAGTAGATAGTCCATTCTTTCAGAATCTGGTTTCGGATTGTGTCATACTACACAATATTCTGTGGGTCTTGAAAAATCTATAAAAATCATCAGAAACTGCTGGCAATATGGGAGTACCTGTTCTGAAATAGGCTGGCAGGCAATGAGTTAATAAACATTGAACCAGTCCGGCCCTCGGCTCGCAGCAAATTTTTTTTTTATGGGTTTTATTTGAAGTTGACATGCCTGTTCTAAAGTGAATAATATCACTAAAGAAATAGCCACAACTAATGTACTGGCAATACAGCAATACAGAACACGTAGAGTGTGATGTCATAGTAGTGCATTCACAAGAGTGAGACAGAAGCTTTTAGACAGAAGGGGCGGAAACAAATGTATTTTCAGACAATAATTCACTTTAATTTTTTTTTTTTTTTTTTTTCAACACCCAACAACTAGATACAAAGTAAACACACAATACATCCAACTCAACAGAAATATAGGATTGGACTGCCACCTTAACGTGGTGGGGGAGTTTGAGTACTCGGATGATCCTGGGAGCTATGCTGTCTGGGGCTTCATGCCCCTGGTAGGGTCTCCCATGGCAGACAGGTTTCAGGTGACGAGTCAGACGAAGAGCGGTCCAAAAACCACCATGGACAGCACAATAAGGACAACAGTGACGTTGCCCGGCATGGCGCAGCCGGGGCCCCACCCTGGAGCCAGGCCTGGGGTCGGGGCTCGTATGCGAGCGCCTGGTGGCCGGGCCTTAGCCCACGGGGCCCGGCCGGGCTCAGCCCGAAGGGATGACATGGGCAGTCCCTCCTGTGGGCCCACCACCTGCAGAGGGATCCGTGGTGGGGCGGTGCTGAGAGGACTGGGCGGCAGTCGAAGGCGGAGACCTCGGCGACCCAGTCCACACACACAACATCTGGCTCTTGGGACGTGGAACGTCACCTCACTGGGGGGGAAGGAGCCCGAGCTCGTGGGGGAGGTTGAGCGATACCGACTAGAGGTAATCTGCCTCACCTCCACACACAGCTTGGGCTCTGGAACCCAACTCCTTGAGAGGGGTTGGACGCTCCACTTTTCTGGTGTTTCCCGCGGTGAGAGGCGGCGAGCTGGGGTGGCCATTCTCATCGCCCCTCATCTCACCCGCCACGTGTTGGAGTTCTCCCCGGTGAATGACAGGGTCGCGTCCCTCCGCCTCCGGGTGGGGGACAAGTCTCTCATTGTTGTGACGGCCTACGGCCTAACAGCAGTGCAGAGTACCCGGCCTTCTTGGAGTCCTTGGGAGGGGTACTGGACGGTGCACCGCCCGGGGACTCCGTTATTCTTCTGGGGGACTTCAACGCCCATGTTGGAAACGCCAGTGACACTTGGAGAGGGGTGATCGGGAAGAACGGCCCCCCTGATCTGAACCCGAGCGGTGTTCAGTTGTTGGACTTCTGTGCCAGTCAGTTTGTCCATCACGAACACAAGGGTGTCCACCAGTGCACGTGGCACCAGGACACCCTAGGCCGGAGGTCGATGATCGACTTTGTTGTCGTATCATCTGACCTTCGTGAGTTGGATCCGCTGGCAGGGGAGGAAGCCGGTCAGACCTAGCAGACCCAAGCGTATAGTGAGGGTCTGCTGGGAACGTCTCGCTGAGCCCCCTGTCAGATGGATTTTCAACTCGCACCTCCGGGAGAGCTTCTCCCAGGTCCCGGCGGAGGAGGGGGACATGGAGTCCGAGTGGACCATGTTCTCTGCCTCAATCGCCGATGCGGCGGCTCGTAGCTGTGGTCGCAAGGTCTCTGGTGCTGGTCCCGGCGGCAACCCCCGAACCCGGTGGTGGACACCAGCAGTAAGGGATGCTGTCAGGCTGAAGAAGGAGTCCTATCGAGCCATGATGGTTCGGGGGACTCCTGAGGCAGCTGTCCAGTACCGGCAGGCCAAGCGTGCCGCGGCCCGGGCTGTTGCAGAGGCAAAAACCCGGGACTGGGAGGAGTTCGGAGAGTCCATGGAGCATGACTATCGGTCGGCTTCGAAGAGATTCTGGCAAACCAGCCGGCGCCTCAGGAGGGGAAGCAGTTCTTTGCCAACACCATGTACGGTGCGGGTGGAGAGCTGCTGACCTCGACACAGAGGCAGAGGCTGAGGATGTTGGGGCGGATACATCCATCTCCCTGGCTGAGGTCACCAAGGTGGTTGGCAGCCTCCATGGTGGCAAGGCTCCGGGTGTGGATAAAATCCGTCCTGATTATCTAAAGTCTCTGGATGTTGTAGGATTGTCTTGGCTGACACGTCTCTGCAACATCGCGTGGCGATCGGGGGCGGTGCCAATGGAGTAGCAGACCGGGGTGGTGGTCCCTCTCTACAATAACGGGGACCGGAGTGTGTGTTCTAATTATCGTGGGATCACACTCCTCAGCCTCCCCGGTAAGGTCTACTCCAAGGTACTGGAGAGGAGGCTACGGCCGAGGGTCGAATCTCGGATTCAGGAGGAGCAGTGTGGTTTTTGTCCCGGTCGCGGAACACTGGACCAGCTCTATACTCTCCATCGGATACTCGAGGGTTCATGGGAGTTCGCCCAACCTGTCCACATGTGCTTTGTGGATTTGGAGAAGGCGTTCGACTGTGTTCCCCGGGGTGTCCTTTGGGGGGTTCTCCGGCAGTATGGGGTCGGAGGTCCTCTGCTGAGGGCCATCCGATCCCTGTATGACCGGAGCCAGAGCTGTGTTCGCATTGCCGGCAGTAAGTCAGACCTGTTCCTGGTGAATGTTGGCCTCCGACAGGGCTGCCCTTTGTCACCGGTTCTGTTCACTGTGTTTATGGACAGAATTTCTATGCGCAGTCAGGGGTCGGAGGGGGTCTGGTTCGGAGACCACAGGATTTCATCTCTGCTGTTTGCAGACAATGTTGTCCTGTTGGCTCCATTGAACCAGGACCTGCAGCATGCACTGGGGCGGTTTGCAGCCGAGTGTGAAGCCACTGGGATGAGAATCCGCACCTCCAAATCCGAGGCCATGGTGCTCGACCGGAAAAAAGGTGCCTTGCCCTCTACAGGTGGGTGGAGAGGTCCTTCCTCAAGTGGAGGAGTTCAAGTATCTCGGGGTCTTGTTCACAAGTGAGGGAAGAATGGAGCGTGAGATTGACAGGCGGATCGGTGCAGCGTGCCCAGTGATGCGAACGCTGTATCGGACCGTTGTGGTAAAGAGGGAGCTGAGCCGAAAGGCAAAGCTTTCGATTTACCGGTCAATCTTCGTTCCCTCCCTCACCTATGGTCATGAGCTTTGGGTAATGACCGAAAGAACGAGATCGCGGATACAAGCGGTCGAAATGAGCTTCCTCCGCAGAGTGGCTGGGCGCTCCCTTAGAGATAGGGTGAGGAGCTCAGTCACACGGGAGGAGCTCGGAGTAGAGCCGCTGCTTCTCCACGTCGAGAGGAACCAGTTGAGGGGGCTCGGGCATCTGTTCCGGATACCTCCTGGACGCCTCCCTGGGGAGGTGCTCCGGGCACGTCTCACCGGGAGGAGGCCCCGGGGAAGACCTAGGACACGCTGGAGGGACTATGTCTCTCAGCTGGCCTGGGAACGCCCTGGGGTCCCCCCGGACGAGCTGGAGGAAGTGTGTGTGGATAGGGAAGTCTGGGCGTCTCTGCTTAGACTGCTGCCCCCGCAACCCGGCAACGGATAAAGCGGAAGAAAATGGATGGATGGATGTTCTTCTCCTGATTAAAACCAAAAAACTCTGGTTGGAAGTGGTCGAATCACTGAAGTGCATTAGAAAAGCTACTTGCAAAGCACCATTACATCGCAGCGTTTTTTTTTTTTTTCGATCACCCGTGCATTATTGATGTGGAGCTTATTATGGGGATGGATTATTTCGACAAAGGAGAAGTGCTGACTGAAGCAGATTGAGACACATTTATGACAATAATTTGAGAGAAACATGTCTTTTCAGCACAAAAACAAAGTTGCATAGCTTTAAGTTGAGCTAATGAAAAAATGGGAGAACTGTATGAAAAATCTATTGAAAAATTGTATATTGATTAGTGTATATCCATTTAAAATCAATTGCTTGTTTTTTTTGACTGGGCATTCGTGTTTGATGAAGGGCCTCTGCCCGAAATGTTACTGTTGTGGTCTGTAAATGAAAGACACTTGTGAGCGACATAGTTTCTCTCTATTTTTTCATGTTTTTGTTGACTCTCAACTTAGTTCCGAGATAACTCACTCTGTACCTGCACCTTTCCTTTTGCTCCTCAGGTGGCTAAACTGCCCTTTCTAATAAACGATGGAAAATGGCACCACATCTGCGTGACGTGGACCACCCGTGACGGCGTGTGGGAGGCTTTTCAGGACGGAGTGAAGAGGGGCAGTGGAGAAAACCTGGCACCCTACCATCCCATTAAACCCCAGGGACTACTCATTCTGGGACAAGAGCAGGTCAGAAAACTGGAATTTTCTCACAATTTAACATTTATTAAGTGGGGAAATGTGCTAGGATGGGTTATAATCATTGGCAAGGCACAGAGTTGAAGAATATTCAGTAGTTAGTCACTTCAAACAACTTTGTAGACGCATCTATCTACAAATATGTAAAGGCAAATGTCATGTTTTTATTTCAATGAGAAGCTTAGGACAAACTATTCGTATTTTATATGGATCTTGATCTTTGAACATGCCCTTGAGTATGACAACAGGAAACACAGAACACATCAATGCAGCTGTCCGGATGAGGTAAAAATAAGCAGGGCAAGGAGATGATTGAAACCGAGATGAATATTTTATGATATGATGGATGGATTTGCCCTGTTTCAAAATGCTGCCTTATGTATTTATTAGGATGTACCTATAGCACGGCAGCAGTTAAACCTGAAACATACTCTTTCTGTTAGGACAAAACAATGTATTATAAGTTAGGCACTGCAACTTTAAAGGAGAAGGTCTCTGCCATTTTGTCCTGGAAGAACAGTTCACAGTAGCGCTGTAGAAACAAAGGTTGGAGTCCACGGCTCTACATGGATCCCATTTTAAAAAACATTGGAATGTGTCAATTTACTATACACTGCTAGCACTAAGTAGTATTACTAAGTGAATAAATAAAACATTGGCCATTTTAAACTTGAAACAAGTTTGAAACATAGCACCTGTGTGACACTACGACCAGATCAAATGCAATCCAGAATATAAAAAACCAGTCAAAGGATTTCTTTTGTGTGCAAGACCCAGAATTTCCTTTGAAGGACAACTTCAGTCGTCGCAGCAGCAAAAGTGTGACCCCTACTGTGACCGTTATTCAGCTAAAGAGAGCACTTTGCATTATCCTTAAAACATTTCTGGGAGAGTAAGGCTTTGTTATATGCATGTTTCTGCTCTGTGTCCCTTTTATACTGGACCCTTTTGGGACATGTAGTGTGAAATTAATGAAGAGAACATTTATCCTTGAACTGGAAAATCCTTATGTTTGAATTAGGCAAATTTCTTATTTTTATGAAGAAGAACCTGAGCATTTGGCATGATCTTACTTAGTAATTTTGTTTCCCCATAGTTTGTGTTATAAAGTAGATATTCAGTCAAAAGTAGAAATATTACAATAGTCAAAAGTAGAAATATCACAATATTACAAACTTAAAATTTGATTTGGTCCAAACAAAACTGAGACTTGTTCTGTAAATATTATGTTAAATAAATATTTTGGATATAAACATAAATATAATTAATATTAATCTCAGATGTAAAATGTGAGCTATAAATGAGCAAGTTGACACCCCTGAATGTGTTCTATGTTTTTGCCTCCTAAGAAATAAGAACTTTTATTGTAGTGATGCACCGATACCACTTTTTTAAAAACCCATACGAGTACGAGTACCTTAATTTGAGTACTTCCCGATACCGAGTACTGAATAATGTTATCCCTGGGAATTCATAAAACTAATAAGACTGATATTCAAAAGGTTTTATTTCTCATTTCAACAATAAGAACATTCTTTAACAATTAAACATTTTACCAATAAGAGGCACTGTCATATTCCACTCATACAAATGTTATTTAGATATACTGTAGCTCCGGTGCTCGCAAAGGTTACTCTGCTTTGGGGGTGAGTTTTATCAAGTTGCTGGTGTTATACGTATTTGTTTTGTTCACTTGCAGCTAGCTTGCCGCTAGCTTGGCAGTAGCTTGCTTTCTTTCTGCCGAACTTGGGAGATCACCATGGCAACATATGCCGCACAGCTGTCTGCTGTTGTGACGCTAATGTGAATTAAAAAGGTGGGTGTTGGCTGTGGGTATCCAGTCCTATGATATGAGTACGAGTATGAGTACAAGCCTGTATCGACCCGATATCCGATACATTATCGTAATCGGTGCATCCCTATTTTATTGGTTTCGATCCTACATATACGAGTATGAGAGGGGGAACATGTGACCTAACTCAGCTGTCCACTGATTATACCAGTAAACTTAGTGATTTGTATGTTTGAAGTTTATTATTGTCACATACATTACATTATTTGCAGTGAAATCTGTGTGTACCTTCCAGTAGGGCTGGGCAATATGGAGAAAAAAAAAAGAAGATATGTATAGAAGGGGTCACGTTAAGTAACCATATGTTTCGTTTTTAGCTGCATATATAAAGTTTACAGTCTCTGGAGTCTCTGGTATAAAGCCACGTTGTTCAATGACAACAAAACATGTCCACCACTGTATGAAATGCCACGGAATCTGACGCTACACCACCTTCTGTCATATTCTACACTTTCTTGTGTTATGTTTGTTTCCTCCAAGCATATTTACAGTCGACGCAGGTAGTTAAGCGGCGCCGCCGCTATGTTGAATGAGACACACTCGAGTGGTGGGGCCGATGGGGAGCAAAAGGAGGCGGGGCGAACGCAGCAGAGAAAAGGCAAACAGGCAAATCGACAAAAGTGAAACAGAGCCAGTATCTCGTTAATGTGAAAAAGCGTATTGTCAAAGTTACTTTCGCAATATTATCGCCTACAATAATTATCACCCACCCTACCTTCCTGTGCATTGAGTTATAGTTGCCTGTATGGAATGGTTTATAAATACATCTTCTTTTCTCTTCACTATAGGACATGCTAGGCGGCGGTTTTGACGCAACGCAAGCCTTTGTGGGCGACCTGGCAAATCTGCATATCTGGGATCGCAAGCTGACAGTGGGTGAAATCTACAACCTGGCCACGTGCAGCAGCAAGGCTCAAGTCGGGAATGTCTTCGCCTGGATGGAGACCAGCCTGGATATTTATGGCGGCGCCTCCAAGTGGACATTTGAAGCGTGTCGTCAGCTCAACTGAAAACTGGGAAAAAAAGGATTTCTGTCTGATAGCGCTGCAAGTGTTACAAAGCAGCAAACTAAAAATCCAGATTGAAAACTGGGTTTGAAACGAAGATGTCGCACATTTGTTGATAGACTTTGACGGGATTTAGTGTTCTGGTTGGGGTGGCTGTGTTCTGCCAGGTAGCACCCATGGAAAAGTGCGCTAACGACTGCGTCTGACAGTTACCGACATTATGATGGTTCAGGGATTGCAGTTTAGAATTCTGGAAGGTTCAAAGAAAAGACGTTGAAGGACCTATCGCGACTGCTTGGGTTTGACACTGTGAGTTGTTTTACGGGTGGACTTTGGCCACGTTTTCGGCTCTAAACTGGAGTGTGTTGTTGACTCTATCACTGTTCTCTTCTCAGCCACCACCTGCTTGATGTGATTTTGTGTAAAAGAGAAAAGAAAATGCAGAAAAATACATATAGTATTTTTAGTTGACCAACGTTTAAGCCTGAGTGCCTTGGGCTGTTGATGAAACTCAACACATTTTGATCATTTGCAGGGTGTTTGCTTTATGTCACTTGCTTTGCTGAGTTTGTTGTAAAGGTGGGCGATTAAGAAAAGAGAAAGGGGTGAATTATATTTTTGATAATTCCCATGGCAATTGATAGAGATACTTACCAACAATCTGTCAGAAACCTGGAAATGCCATGTTAACAGTTCAACAGTCTACTGAAGTTATTTGATATTGTGTGAAACTCAATCATGTTTAAACAGTCCATACACAGATCGTATTTGAGGAAATGCAATACTTGAAAGAGAAAATGCAAAAGACATTTTTGGATTGCCCTCCATTAGGGGTTTACAAACTATAGCTGACCACAACCTTCCAAGTTCCTCAAGACAGGATTGAGAAATTACTAATTTCAAATTTGTTACAAATTTGCTGAATTTGTCAAATGTTATGTTTCGCGTGACTATGATTGTAAAGGAGCAGTATGTGAAAAAAATGGCCAAAAGTGGTACTGCAACCTCTCCCACTCTGCCTGACTCAGGTTGCCAGATATGCAGACAAACCCAGCATCTGAATATACAAGAGTTTTTTCCACTACAAATCTCTAACCATCACCAATCCTCATTTTATTCCTTGTTTTGTTATTAATGATTTGAGAATCATAACAAGACCTTTTTTAGTATAGCGGCCACACGTTACTTTACCGGTGAGATTAGCTCGACGCAGTGCATTCTGGCAACCCGGTTAACAGACTTTTTGTATTTGTTAAAAGGTGGAGGGCGGGACATCGAAATGAAAACAATGATTTAGGGTCCGTAAAAATAATTTTGAAATTATCATATCTCGGCTGAACTACTGTTATCAGTTAAAGAAGTAGTCAGAAAAGAGCATGGTTTATTAACGCCTTTTGATAGATTAGGGCCATTTAATGATGACTTGACATGAAAATCTTACATATTGCTACTTCAACTTTGTGCACTGAGACATGACACATAATCTATTGGTTACAGTTAACTCGCCATAAAATAATCTCAGGCTACGTCATCCTACTCACCTTCTTTCAAACAACTTAACGCCGGGGTCCTTCACTTTCAAACTACATAAAATAGATAATTAATTACCAGATTGCTACTTTAAGGTTTGTATTTCTATTGGTAGAGTTGGGCTCTTAATTTACTTGAAGTGGATAGAGACTCTAATTAAAGTGGTTGTAGACACTTGTTTATTGCCAAAATTCTATGATAAATTTATGATGGAAGCTAACAGGTAACTAAGGTAAGCATGCTGAGGTGTGCAAATTGTTCATCCTGAGATGCAAAGTTTTGTCCATACCAAGTCAAGAGTGTGTTAAAACGCCTAATTATTAAATCATGCTATGACCAGTCATAACACTTGTCTTGTCTATCTGCTTTGTTTTATGCTATTAGCTGCGGCTTGTATCCAAATGTACTTTTTCAAATTTAGCTGGTTCTGTATTTAATAAAATCCATCAAACTAGTTCTTGAGTCTCAAACAGTTTGGTTCGATCACTAGTTTTCACATGCATGCATGTTTGGCCTCTGACACATGTTTAAATCAACTTTATCAGACAGAAAAGTGATAAAGTGGGGACCACCCTCACTCAAAGCATTTCTAGTATAATAGCATGACAGGGACAGCACATCGGGACATCAACAAAATGTATTATTTAAGAAAAAAAAACATACTTTCTCTGCTATATTAGTTCAGAAAAAGTGGCTCTCTGTGGAAAAAAGATTGGATAACCCTGCTCTATGTATCTCCAATGTTGAAAAACACTAGAGCAAATTACAGCATTGATACATTTTTTCAGTGAATGTTTGCTTTTTACTTTTGACATGCCTTTGCTCACCATGGTACACTAAAATTACCTAATAGATAGGTCTTCAAAGATACAATTTTGTAGAGAACAGTCTGAGGATGGTTCATGTTTTTGTGTAACCTGTGGTGTATTTGATCATCCAGAGAAAGGCAACCTTGTCAACCACATCCTTGAACTGAGCATGAACTAACCAAAATACAACTTGTGGAATGTGTCTCATGAGGATAATTGTATTGTCTTCAGAATATTGCTTTAATTTGAAGTTGTGATATCGCCCACCTTGTTTGTGAGCCGGTGAATGCAGCGGTCTGTGGATGTGCATTTTGCAGATGGGAATGTGTTCTGTACAGTTTAAAAGCATGTCTTGACGTGTGTAACTGTCGCTCTTCATCCCCCCGTCGTCTTTTCTACTCTACTCTTAGAGGCTTTAAGCATGGCAACACCAACAGATGAGAAAGTTCTAGTTTTTGTAATAAATTGTGATACTTGAATCTTAAATGTGTCAATTTATTCTCTACAAAATGACTCAACTGTTATGGAAGGCACATAGCAGAACTTATAGCGATAAAAGTTGGCGATATTGTACAAGATGGATTTTACATTTGATCATGAATTTAAAGGTTCAAAGTGTAGTCACTTTTCTGGAGGAGCGTCTTCCACTCGCTTGCGTCCATCATACTCTATTATGTTTTGGACTATACTCTACAGCAAGGGTGTCACAAGCTGTTCCAGTATGGGACATCACTGTCCACCCATTTCCTCGACTAAGTCCAGTTTTAATTTTAAGGAAATGGGTTGAGTCTGTTGTGCTTAGTAGGAGTTAAAACCTGTTGCCACAGCAGCCCTTTCTGGAACCAGTTTGACATCCTTGGTAGTTTCTACAGTATGGCTTTAAATGTATCTGACTAAACTGGAGACGAGCAAGCCATATCACCAGGATAAAGGTTATACTGCATCTGCGGAGAGGCACTCTACTGTAAATGTTCACTGCACACAGTGAGAACGATGTTTAACCAGTAAAAACATTTAATAGTATGAAAGAGAAATCTCCATGGCAATCTCCTCACATCACAAAGAACATTGGTTTTGGTGACCAATACCTTGGTTGTCTCCAAAAACATGATCCTCCATCGGAGGTCGTTGTAATCAAGCTGAGCATCTTGAGAATGATATCCTGGGCCCTGAACTGGATCTACAACCAGTGACATTGAGACAAATTTCCAAACGAGAATATTTAAGTAGAGTTTTGACCATCACTTTATTCAACATCAGACAAGGGTTTTAGAGAGAAATACAGAATATGAGCAGATACAGTGAAACTTCCTTGCATGTAGTATGTGCGCCAGGTGGCAGTACCCGCAAGACCAAGTGCCGGCGTGGATAGTACTTATTTCACTCTGATGTATTTACAGCTGCTATAGTTGAAGCTCTGTATGCAACAGAAATCATAATGCTTACGTTTTTAACAGTTTTGACTATGACAAGAGCATGGGGAATTGTCAACATTTCTTGGATTGTAGTTTTAAAATAATGCATTTCTAACAAAGCAAAAAACAAGAGTGTTTTTCAACCTTTAACGTTGTCGTGTAAACGCCATCTTACTGGCTTCATATTTCTTCCAAAGAAACATTTTTATCCAAATATTACAACATCAAAATGTCTGTGTAATAAATGGATTTGTAAAAAAAAAATTGTTATGGGTTATTTGGTTATACGATATAAGTAATGGAGAGTTTTGGGGAGACAATGGCTCAGTTGGTGGAGCATTTGTCTTTGAACCTAATGGTTGTTGGTTAGGTCCCTCCACGACCCATGTCCCCGACTCCCACTGAAGTCTGCTGTCATTGTGTCCTTGTGCAAGACACTTAACCCCACTTTACCTGAAGTCTCAGCTGAAACACCAAGGCTGTGTTTCTGTTGACGGAGCACCATCTTCCTGTGGACCCACCACCTGCTGGAGGATCAGTGAGGGGCTGGTGCTATGAGCAGTGGGTGGCAGCTCTGATTGCCACCAAGAAATGGACTAATAAAGAGGATAAAAATAAATAAATGGCTGAAAGAGATAAATCAATACACTTGTACAAAAGCATCAGAATGACTTTCTTAGTTCACCATTACAAGATTTAAAAAAACATCACCTGGCTAGTGGAGAGGATACCTTAGAGTCCCTGGGTCTCCTCCTGGCAGGACATGCCCATAACACCTCCCCAGGAAGATCTCCAGGATGCACCTGAAAAGCAGCAGCTCTACTCTGACCTTTTCCTGCAGTGACCAAGATCCTCACTCTATGTCTAAATGAGCCTTTCTGTGGAGGAAACACATTTTGACTGCCTACTGTATATCTACAATCTCGTCCAAAGCTTAATAACATAGGTGAGAATGGGATTGCCAATTGACTGGTCGCTTCTTTCTCTGCACCACATCTGTCTGATTCAACAACTGCATCACTGCACACGTTACACCACTGCATCCTTCCTTCACTGAGATGAAGACCTGAGGTCTTCAATGAAACAAGGTTTTCATTCAATTTATCTACAGTCTCTTCATTGCCACTGATTTTTTAGTTCTAACCATTATACACTATAAGAAGGAGGACCCCCAATGAGAAATCTGGTGACACGATTGAAAAGTAGAATAACTGAAAGTATCTGCAATCCTTCAAACATACCACGAATT